GGGGGGAGAAGGGTGGAGGAGATACCGTCTCGCGAGAGCGGCTGTGACGAGCTATCGCGGCCCCGCAGGCGTGAGGGAGGGGAGGGGGTGCGGCTGCCGGCTGCTAGCGGAGGGCTGGCGGGGTAATCTCGTAGGGGAGCGCGAAGGAGCTTTACGGAGCGTCTGGTGTAAGTAAATGTCCGGATTTCTTTGAAGCTCGTTGGGGAAAGGGGCTGCGTGTGTTGGGCTTGCTTTCTGGCCCTTATAAGGCCAAGGCAACTCGCTGACATCTGTTGCTGGGATGTTGCCTCCAGTTCTTCTACCCTTGCCAGGAACCTCGTGGTCCTGCTGTGCCTACAGTTCATTTGCCCACACAGCCACTTTTGGAAATAGCTAGATGCTGCCTAAAGCGTGATGCACGCTGCACGTGCGCAGTGGCACAGCTCAATGCTTATATGCCATTTTCAGCAAGTGGCATCAATTGTTTGGTAATCCCACAGCATCCTTTTTCTGGTATCTGGCAAAAGCTCTGTAGCTGGGCACGTTTCTCTCTGCCTGCTGAGTTGCCTCAGAGCTGGGTCTGCTCTGTGACTGCCGGGCACTCCCATGCATCCGTGAAGGGATTAACCCCCTCTGGCAATTAGATTAATAAGAGCAAAGGCCAAACTGTCTAAGGGAAGTTCAGTCACAGCACTGCTGCTTGCTGGTTCTGTCCCCTTGTTATTAATTGCTACGATGAAATCAGGTATTCATGAGGCTGAACCATGATATTGCTGCATTCATAGATGTAGCAGCAAGCATTGATATGTCAGTGGTGTTTCTGAAATGGTTCCTCAAGCATTTTGTCTCCAGTACACAGGGCTTGTGTGCATTTCCAGCATCACAGGAAATCTGCTGAAGGCAAAGTCTTGAGCAGAGTCTTTGTGCTCTTCTTAAAAGATCAATACGTAAGCACTCTGGTGCAAGTGCAGTTGGTACAAAAAAGCACCTGTTTAGATAGGTTTCATATCTTTATACAGTAACGAGTGATTAGAGTATTAATATATTGTGTCAAAACTATTAAAGTTTGGATTCCACATTAAACAAGTTAATGGGAATGGGCTACAGTCTGCTAATAGTGGTAATACTAATGAAGTTATCATCAAATATCTGTCTTCAGTATTCTATGCAGCTTCTCAGTCACTTTGTTTCAGCAACGCTTCCATAACAGGCTAAGGACTCTACTGATTGGTAACGTGTCAGAAATTGGATATTTCAGCACAAATTGTTTCTGAAGATCTTGGCCATAAGGCCTGCTGTTCCCACTTTGCAGTACCTTGAGTACAAATCAGTAGAAAAGAGAGTAGACTAAACTGTTTCTCAGTACAGGAGAGGTAATTTCTGAATCACAAAGCAATTCAGAAGAGATCGTAGAATCACAGAATGGCCAAGGTTGTTAGGGACCTCAAGGATCATGAATCTCCAACCCCCCTGCCACATGCATGGCCACCAACAGAAGCGGTAATACCTCATTCCATTTTCAGTTTAACTTTTAATGCAACTGAAATAAGCCAAGTTATTTCTTATACTCTCACCGACACTACTCAACCCTACAGCCTACCTGTGCTGGCTTGAATTGAGTTTCCAGTTCCTTTTTTGTATTTGAACTACTATTTGGGTTATGTAAGATGTGGTGTAAAGGCCTGTGTATCATTTCATCTCTTCAAAATACAGCTAAAGCTCTGATTCTTTAATAACAGAAAGAAAAGCTTGAAAATGGATACTGAAACTAACACTGCCTGCCCTTGCAGAGAGGCTTGCAGACAGATAACTATCTTGAAAGTTACATTGATTTACCACTACCTGTACAAAGAGATTGTTTCAGACAAGCATGGTGCTAGCCTTCCATTCCTAGAGGTGACCTGGAAGTTGATCTTGGAGGAATAAGTCCTTAGGTCCTTAACAAAGATGTAAACTGCAGTATTGTGCCATACCTATTCAGCATTAGTTAATGCATTAGGCTTTTAGCTTGGTTGGAGTTGTGTAGTCATCTGAGAGTCCTCAGAACCACTTTGTTACCTTCTGTGTGAGAGTTGTGGGTGAGCAGAACTCTTGTCCTGAGCAGTATTCCTTGGGGACCACTTTCTTATTCACTTCCACCCTCGTTACACTTCCAAACAGTTTCTTTGTGTGTTCTAGCATACTGTACCAAATGCTGCTTTGTCATGGTGTAAGGCTTCCCACTCGGAGCCTGAACATTATTAGTGCATACAGTCATGGAACAGTTTGCTGGAGAGAGCTCCATGTTCCAAGCAGGTATTTGTTATGCTTGTCATTTTCTGTGTAGCTGGAATCCAAGATACTCCACTGCTTGAATGTAATGTTAAAAACAGCAAACATGAATTCTAGAGTTCTCCTTATAAAATAATACGTATTGCAGTCTAGGGAAATGATTCTGCCCTTTTGCTGTTGTGAGACTCCACCTGGAGCATGGCATCCAGTTCTGGAGGCCTCAACAACGAGGACATGGAGCTGTTGGAGCGGGTCCAGAGGAAGGTCACAAAGGTAAGTAAAGGACTGGAGCACCTCCCTTATAAGGAGACAGACTGAGAGCTGGAGCTCTTCACCCTAGAGAAGAGGAGGCTTCAAGGAGACATTATAGAGACCCTCCAGTACCTGAAGAAGTCCTACAGGAAAGCTGGAGAAGGACTTTATAGAAGGGCATGTAGCAACAGGACAAGGGGAAGTGGCCTTAAGCTGTAAGAGGGTAGATTTAGACTAGATATTAGGAAACTCTTTAGTGTGAGGGTGGTGAGACAGTGGAACATGTTGCTTGGGGGAGTTGGAACTAGATGATCTGAAAGGTCCCTTCTAAGCCAAACCATTCTATGATATCATTTAATGTCCTCTTGAGATGAAAGGCACTTCTTAAAATCAGTGCACAGAAACTGATATAGAAGAAAGATTTAGAATTAATGCTAGGATTCAAGCTGTCATCTCACTTGATGCCAGGTTGTTCCCATATCTCAAACATCCTGGGTCACTAGAATGTAGGTAGGAACTCAATCTCCGGAAAGTAATTCCATTTAGCATGGGGTAAGTGAAGGGTGACCTCCTTCAGAGCTTCATTTTATTCTGTCATTGCTTTTCACTGCTGGCAAGAGCTTGCTGCTGTCAACTAAAGCAGGTCCTTTTTAGAAATGGTAGTAATCCAACCATTTTTTGTTGGTTTTTGTTTATGTAATTAGCAAGAGTATGGTAGTCTGATGAATGTTCACCACAAAAATGCTTTGTAAATTTCTTGATGGCAAGTTCTGACCAGAGGCTTGTTTCTACAGTACTGTCTAGTGTCAGAAAAATAGAATCACAAGGTTGGAAAGGACCTACAAGATCATCTAGTCCAACCGCCCTCTCATTACCATTGCTACCACAGGCTACTAAACCTTATCTTGTAGCTCCTCGTCCAGACACCTCTTCACACTGCCAGGGATGGCAACTGCACCACCTCCCTGGGCAGCCATTCCAGTGCCTGACCACTCTCTGAGAGAAAAAGTTGTTCCTTATGTCTAACCTAAACCTCCTCTGGTACAACTTGCAGCCATTTCCTTGGGTCCTGTTTGTTGCCTGGGAGAAGAGGTCAAACCCTCTTCATCATAGCCTCCCTTCAGGAAGTTGTAGATGCAGTGACGTCTCCCCTGAGCCTCCTCTTCTCCAGACTAAACAATC